GCTCTTATCCCTCCGAGGACTTGCAGCCCAGAAGGAAAATAGAGATGGAGCCAACCCTGTTAGGGTCAGCTAAGTGTGGCAAAAGAAGGAAATACCATGATAGATGGAAGGGGGACCAGAGAAAATTTCCTGGAGAAGGGGACTTCTGAAACATGAAGGATATGAAAGAGTTCAATGGATTCTGGAAATTAAAAAAAAGAAGAAAGAGGCTTGGCAACCTTTTAGTGCTTACGCTCCCAGAGCCACACAGATGTAAGAACAAGGGACTGCAGTGGACTCTGCCTGCAACAGTCCTCAGCCTCTCTTTGCGACCTTCACCACTGCAGTCTGTTCTGATATTCTTTTGGTTTTTCAGCCTGGAGTCTCAGACAAGAGAGCAGAATAGAGACTCGGTGTTGACTGAGAGCTGGCTGGACCTCCTTCAGGTTTGGCCACATCTGCTTCCCCGCTACCCCCCATCCTGGGAAACAAGTACTTTTGTCCTTAAGACTCTCCCATGAGATCTGAGCCTGTTGGGTTGAGCAGGATCTTGGGCCCCACTGAATTTTCTGTCTCATCTCATAAACACGGACACTAAGGCCTAGATGAACGATGCGACTTTTCCAAGGCAGGCACACGACGGTCTTGCAGTAACCTGTGAAACCAATCTCAGGGCTTTGGATTCTGTTCTGTTAGCCTTCCTTTGTCCCTCGGAGAGGAACCGTCCGTGCATCTTTCTGTGGAAAAATGCTCGGAATGTCTTCGGGAGGTATTAGAGAGTCGTTTCGGATGGAGGAAAAGCCAACAGGCCAGGGATCAACCTCTTAGGAGAACAGACCTGCTTTTGTTTCTGTTGGTTCAGAGGGGGCTGATTACCTCCAGAGAGAGCAAACGCATCATGGCGGGGAGAAGTTGTTCAGGGCCTGCACACTGTACAAAGCGATTCTGAAATGAGTTTGTCCAGGGATCCAGGGGTTGTGAATAGCTCTGGTTCCCCAGGCCAGGTTGCAAGCACTGGCTTCTACTCCGCAGTGGGGAAGACAGAGCCCCTGGACTGTGATGGAGCCAGACAAGCCACCAGTGGCTCGAGCACAGTGTTGACCTTGCCCCCAGGTGACCGTGACTTGTGACACATCCCCGCCCCTGCCCGCACCTGCCCATTTCCCACCTATGAAACATTCTCTGAGTTCCTTGACGTGATCTCCACATGTCCATACAAACACTTCCTATTGGGCTGAACTTTTGGCCTAGTAACTAAGATATTTGCATCTCTCTTCAGAGAACCTGAGTTCAATTTCAAGTTCAGGTGTCTTGCTAATGTGAACCCTGGGAGGTAGTGGTGACAAGTCAAGTGCCACCCACATGGGAGACCTGGATTGGGTTCCTGGTTCCCCTGCCTCCTCTCTGCAGTGAGTGGGAATACACACACACACACACACACACACACACACACACACACCCCTAACTGTAGCAACCCATAACTTTGTAGAAAGGGGTTGGACAAGGACTCACCTATCATACAAACATTCTAAGAAAGGGGAGGTTTCAGGACAGCCCAGTTACAAATTGCAATTTTTTCAGTTCCTCCCAGATGGACAAAACCTATCATTGTTTTTAGCAAATGGAACACATGGTTCCTACACTGCATGAATCCATGAGTCCCAGGTACATGCCATGTAGCTTATAAAGTTTGCTTGAAAACAAAAAGAAGCAATCCTTACTTTAAAAAGTGTTTTTTAAAAGTTCATGAGAAATTAAATGCAGCAATTGGGTTATGTCAGTATAAAAAGGTTTTTTTCGGGGCCTGGCGATGTAGCCTAGCGGCTAAAGTACTCGCCTTGAACACACCAGGATCCCATATGGGCGCTGGTTCTAATTCTGGCAGCTCCACTTCCCATCCAGCTCCCTGCTTGTGGCCCGGGAAAGAGGTCGAGGATGGCCCAAGACTTTGGGACCCTGCACCCATGCAGGAGACCCCGAAGAAGTTCCTGGACCCTGGCTTTGGATTGGCATAGCATCGGCCATTGCGCTCACTTGGGGCGTGAATCATCAGACAGAAGATCTTCCTCTCTGTCTCTTTTCCTCTCTATATAACCAATAAATAAATAAATAAATATTTTTTTAAAGTTTTTTTTTATGCATAGCTTTTTCACATATGTATCATCCATGACCTTTTGAAAGTCCCCTCACATTGCTAGGCCCATGGGCACCGTGACATCCGGTGGATGGCTGCGAGGTCTGCCTGCTGGAGGGCCGATTGAGCAGGAGGACTGCCCGGGCATCAATCCTAATCCAGGATTTCTGGAGTTGGCGCCTTCTCTTCAGCATGTGAGCTGAACATTCAGTGTGAGCTGACCTCACACGGGGGAAAGAGGGGCAGATGGGAGCCTAGGTGTAGACACAAGCATATCCGACTGCACCGCTCTTGGGGTTCATGGACTCGAGAGACACTGTATGGGCCAGCTTAGGATAGGGGACAACGGGAAGTAACACCCTCTCAGCTAAAAAAGCAATCAGATCACATGTCCTGCTTACATAATTAAGTAGTGGCGGGGATCGAGCGCCACAGGTGCCTTCTACAAGGAGAATCAGCGCTCAGCTGAACTGATCTGCCCCATTTATTCCATGCAAGACCTTCCCTGGGAGAAAATTCTGGGTACCTGGGGTCAAACTGTACCATAGAAATAAAGAAGAGAGGGGGCCTCTGTCATGTGAGCTGCCCATCCAAGGTGGATTTGGCCTGGAAAGTTTGATAAAACCTTCCACATGACTGGCCATTTGTGGGGATAAGCAACTCGGTGAAATCCTACCAAGTATGTTGGCCTCTATGAGCTATTGATGCCCAAGTCTCCTGGGTCCTGTTTTGTTCTCAGAGGGCTACAAAGCATCTGGCCAAATATCCAGGCATCCACACACTGCTGGTATGAGCAGGGCTAAATAACATGGCCACATCTCGCGAGACCATGGACACTGTGCTGATAAAAACCAAACCAAACCAAAAACCCACTGCTGGGAACATCTCTCTGAGCCAGGCTGTTATTAAAGAGTGCAAGTAGGTAGGGTCTCAAAAGCTGGGTGGGAAAAGGACTGGAGAATGCAGGAGTCGGCTTCTCTCTCTTTTTTTTTAGTTTTTGGAAATCTATTTTTATTGGGAAGGTAGATTTACAGAGAGAAGGAGAGACAGAGAGAAAGATCTGTCTACTGGTTCTTGCAATGGACAGAGCTGAGCTAATCTGGAGCCAGGAGCTTTTTTTGGGTCTCCCACATGGGTTCAGCATCCCAAGGCCTTGGGCCATCCTCCACTGCTTTCTCATGCCACAAGTAGGGAGCTGGATGGGAAGCAGAGCAGCTGGGACATGAACTGGTGCCTATATGGGATCCTGGCACATGCAAGGTGAGGATTTAGCCACTGAGCTATTGCACTGGGCCCAGGAATGGGCTTTCTCTGAATGTTGAATTCCCTTAAATGTTCAAGCTGACAAGACTTTTTTTTTTTAAATGTTTATGGAAATTGCATCACCCATGCCACTTCCTGCCAATGTCACCTCTTGGAGGTGTATAGGCAGACAACAAAGAAACTCTACGTGCTTTCCTCTTCAGTTCTAACTCCAAACGTTTACTTAGCATTCTTCCAGCACATCATAGGAGAGTCGTGGCCAATGGAATGTCACGGTAAGTTTAGGTGGCTATACATGTGGTTTAACAACGACACCTGGTTCTCCCATCAGCTGCGTCTTTGTGAAGACCGCCCTGTGTGTGTCCTTCTCAATAGGAGGCAATAGAACCAAAAGGAAAAGGATGAAAAAAGGTGCAAGACCCCAGCCAGGAAAGGGTGCTGGGCAGCGGAGGGCTGGAAGGGCCGCTCAAGGCTTGGCTGATAACCATCTCTTGTAAAGAAGAGGAGTCACTGGGAACAGACTGAAGCCACTTCCTGGCCAGTTGCCAAATCCTTCCACCACTGTTTCCTTAGGTTGGAAAGACCCAGTGACGTCGGTGCACTGGCTTTTTCTACTGGCAGGATTCTTGAAAGAGACTATGAAGTGAGGCCGGAGCCTTCTATCGAAAAAGATGTAGTGGAATCAGGTGGTTGCCTCATCGTCAAACTCGCCAAGGACGCACCGGTTACCCATCACGGTTTTCGCCCCGTTTTCAGATCACGGTTTTCAGATCAAGTTCATCCTCAAAGCTCCTTGCAGGAGAGTGGAGGTCTGTCCACACTTCCTTGTGCGTACGCGCGTGTGCGCCCTCAGGCTGGCCTGCTTGCCTGTGGTCCTCGCTGGCCAGGTGGCACAGGGCTCCTTTTCTCTGTGCTTCTCCACCCATGACTCTGGTTTTGCTGTCTGAAAATTACCCTCTGAGTTCAAGGACGTCCATGGGAGCAGGGGCATGGGCTTGTGTAATTTGTGTAACTACAGCATTCTTGGAAGGATGTTTGTTGACTAAATGCACAAACCTGTGGGTGTTCCCAGCCTGCCCAGGGACGCAAGGGCTATCAGGGCCAGCTCCCAAATGGCAGGTGACTTCCTCGCGGGCAAGAAAGTAGGAGAGAAGGAGTCATTCTGGGTCCCTGTTCAAGGTCTCCCGGACAGGGGCTCTCTCTGCCCTGCGGAGGGGGCTGACTGGACTGAGTGGTTCAGACTTGATTCTGGTTTTGGGTCCCAGGCACCCAGAGGGTGGGGTGGACGCGGAACCAGGGTCGGACGCTGAGTGAGCGCCGGGCCGCGCTTGGAAGAGCCGCGGATGGGCCGCGGGTCCCGGGCGCGCCCAGCCCACCCACTCGCGTGCCCAGGGCCGCATTATTCCCTATAAGGATCTGAACGGTCAGGGCCGGCCCCGCCCCGCCGGCCCGCGCCCCCGGCCCCGCCCCCTCGGAGGGCCGATGAGGTAATGCGGCTCTGCCATTGGTCGGAGGGGGCGGCCCCGCGCGCCCGAGGCGTGTGTTCCCGGGGCGCCGCGCTATATAGCTGCGGGCAGCCGGGGCAGCGGTGCAGAGCGGGGTAGCAGACAGGCGCAGGCGCCCGGTGGATCCTGCTTCTCGGGCTCCGGCTCCTCTACTCCTTCGGTTCCCTCGCGGGAGAAGCCAGTCAGCCCGCGCAGTTTTGTGCGCCCGTGCCCAAAGCAGCTGCGCCGCGCCCGTCCCACGGGACACTCCGAGGCCAAAGTTGCCGCACGGCTGGGCGGGAGAGCTCCGGCTGCTGCAAGCGGTGCCGGCAAGCGCGCCCCGCAAGTTTGCAAGAAGAGCTAGCGGCAGGCAGTCCCAGCAGCGGCGGCGGCGATGACTCCGTGGCTCGGTCTCGTGGTACTCCTGGGCAGCTGGGGCCTCGGGGATTGGGGCGCCGAGGCGTGCACATGCTCGCCTAGCCACCCCCAGGACGCCTTCTGCAACTCCGACATCGGTAAGTACGCGGAGCGAGCGAGCGAGCGAGCTGAGCGCGCGCTGCAGCCCCGGGTTGCAACTCCTTTCCTGGTCTCCGCCCCAGGCACGGGGCGCAGGGGCGGGGTGGCAGGGCTCAACCTCCTCGGGCAGGGCGGAAGGCCAAAATGTCTTGCGGGGCAGACGTATTCCCTCTGTAACTCTCGCTATCCTTCAGGGGGCTTTTGACAGCTAGTACCATTTTGCCTTTCTCGATTAAAGGAGGAAGAGGCTGAAAGGGGGCGGGGGGAATAGGGAAAAGGTTCCTGAAACTCGGCGCGCTAGCACAACCTGCTGAGCTGTTGACTTGTTCAAAGTTGCCAGCCAACTGCGTGCAAAGTTCCCGGGAAAAACTTGAAGAATTCAGCTTTGGCCGCCTCTCCCTGATAGATCTTCTCACTGAGACCTAACCCAGCCAGGAGTGCCCCAAGCCAGTGCTAGCTGGAACTTCTGGGGGTGCGAGGTTTGGGTGGATTGGAGGGGCAGAGGAAGAGCGCTGAGGTTGACCCTTCCCTGGGGGAATGATATTTGAGAGTATTGATAGCAGGTGGGAGGTGGCTGTGCGCAGGACTCACTTATCACATAGCTGAGAAATTTGTTGGAAGGCTATTTTATTTCCTATTTTTGTTGGGGGTGGTGTGTATGGGAGCATGGGAAAACACTTGCCACTGAAGGAACACAAGATGCCCAGGGTTATGTCATAGCGACAATTCCCAAACTGGACTTTGAGTCTCTAGGCTAAGAAGCCAGGCTGGTTTTTATGGAAAGCCTTGAAGGTGTCCTGGGAAAACTTGTCTGGGAGTGTGTGGGACCTTCGGATTTGGATGGCTGGAGGTGGAGCGGCAGATGGAAAACATCTTTCCTAGTCTGTGGGCCGAGCGTGGCATGTGTGTGTGAGTGTGTGTGTGTGTGTGTGTGTGTGTGTGTGTGCCGGGAAGTGCTGCCCCTCTGCCGGTGTCGATTCAGAGGCGAAGAATGGAGCATGTGTGTTTTAAGCACAGTCAGGAAATCTTTCACTGAGTCTTGGATGAGGGACTCCACATGTGGGTGGCAAGGAGGGGGCACTGCGGGGGTTCAGTCTTGCAGAAGAGCAGAGAAGTGGTCCTGGTGACCAGGGTCAGTCCGGTTGGCAGCTGGGGGTGTTTGGGTGACCCGGTTCACCCTTATTGGCGGTTTGTGAAGCCTGTACTGCACGCCCTTCCTTACCCTGGGAGACCCCGGCCTGGCCCTGGGTCCGAGAGTTGTGTTAGAGGGCATTTTCCAGGGCTGCATGTGGCCTAGCTTTGTCCTTTCCTGACCAGTGCCCCATCTGATTGCACTTGCATTCCCTCCCATCAGGTCCTTATTGCGAGGTGGTGCTGATCTTGCACGGAGCACACACGGATGGGGTGGGGCTGGGCGTCCAACAGGTGCTGTCAAGCAGGTCCGACTCTCAGCTGGGTCTGCTGCTCTGCACGGGAAGGAGCTGCGGAGTCGGGGTTGGCGTTCAGGCAGAGGAAGAGCTGATCCCTTGGGCTTGCCCCTTGCTGGCAGGGTGAGGGGGTGCTCCCGAGAGACCCCAAGCAAAAGGCAGAAATAGGGGCTAACAGTGCACTGCACTTCCCATGTGTAGGGTGAGGGAGGGGGAGGACTCTGTGGCGCCATCCGCAGCTGAGCTTCCCACCAAGGGGGCTTGCTGGGGGTCTACACAGATGCGGACATTTTGCATAATTTTCTCTGGTCTTAACTCCTCCTAATCGCTTTAATTAAGTGCAGGGAGAAAAAGTAAGTTAGCAGGAAGTTTGCAAGGATCAGAACATTGTGGCAGTAATCCCCTCCCTCTTTCAAAAAAAAAAAAAAAGCCAGAAAGGAGAGCGCTTGGAAGCGGCGGCGGGGACCTAGAGCCATCGGGCCTGGGTCTGGTGCACTGCACTGGCGGCCACGATGAGCTAATGCTTTTAAAAATGGGAGGCGTGGGTGTGGGCCTCTCGCCTGTTGACCTCCCTGGGCCTCGCAGAGCGCCCGCGGATGGTCAGTAGGTGGCGCCCGCTTCTCCTTGCTCACAGCCTTTCTGGTTTCCAGTCCGGACCTGAAGCTCAGAGCCATCTTACCCCTGTAGGACAGTCCCAATACTCCGGCCCCCACCCGGGGCCCCTCAGCCTCACTGAATGGATGCTCTAGGCTACTCAAGGTGCTGAGCCAGACCTGTTCACATTGCCTTCCAGAACCTACCGGCTGCTTCTCTCTTCCTGGCTGTGCGCCAAGGTGCCCTGGGGAAGGACCCAGCACGCCTGCCTGGCACAGCCCCCTCTAGGGAATGCCTCCCACCCCTTCCAGGGCCGTCTGTCGTGGCCTTGTGCCTCATCCACAGACTTTCATCCCCAAAGCCAAAGGGGGACTGGCACAGCCTTCTGGATGAGGAGGAGTTAAAAGATGTTTCTATGGCAACCCTGGGCCCTGCACCCTAGGGCAGTGTTTAGGAGAAGAATAAACTACACGCAGGCTTAGAAAACTCACTGGGGGTGGGGGAAGAAGGGGAGCCTGGCCGCAGCCAGGATGTCTGTGGCATCCCTCCCTGCTTCCTAGTCACTGCTCCTGAAACCTGGGAGGAGGGGCAGGGGGCAGCATTAGCCAGGCAGATCCTGCTGGGGCAGCGCCCGCTGGCTGCAGCAGGGGCAGGCAATGCTAGGAGCTTTCTGAAAATTTCTGTGTGTGTGTGTGTGTGTGTGTGTGTGTGCGCGCGCGTGCGCACATGTGAGGTTCCTGCAGAGCTGGAGGTTAGTGGAGAGAGAATTCTGTCTCAGAATGCCAAGACCTGCTCGTTGGCCCTCTCTGCACAGAGCAGTGCGGCTGGAGGGGTGGGGACCTGCCCCTGAGCCTTTTGGGAACTTGAGAGCAAGGCTGGGCTGTGATGGAGCCCTCGGAATTGTTTTGATAGGGGTCACTGCCAGCGGATTCCTTTGGTATCAGATCTGAGGTGGCGATTTCAGCCAAGAAGCCGTTTTCAAGAGAAATCGGATTCACTCCCTCTCTGCCACACATAGGTCGGCCTCCACACCAGGCTCTGTGACTTTAAGAAGATAAAAGATTCAGGCCCTGGAGAAGAGGCAGGCCTTTGGGGTGGTGGTAGCAGCAAATGGACTGAGGGACCCAAATTGTTGCCATCCTGGGAACTTCCGGTGAGAGGAGATTGGGCTGGAAGAAGGAAAGTGCATCTCTTGGATCCTGGGTGCAAGAACTTCTTAGGTGACCTTTGACCCACTTAGAAACTTAACAGAAGGTGCACCTGTTGTTCGGATGCAGAATACCAAGGTTGAGAGAGGTCATGCTTGCTGGAGGCCACTAGCTACTCAATGGGGAAAGCTACAGCTTTGACCCACGGTATCCCAAACAGGTCTCTCTCTGCAGGCGGAGATGGGCTGGGTGGTAAAGTCTGCAGCATGCTTGGCTACTTGGTGGGGGATGTTTTCTTGAAAAAGATCGAGATGGCAAAGATAGCCAGAGGTTCTCCTTGAACCTTCAGGGAGACAGGCTGCGATTGTTCTTTCAGGGCATTAGAATAAACCAAAGGGAAATTTCTGACGTGCTTTGGAAGTGAGAACTGGAGAAGACAGGACTATCCAAGTTCAAAGATGATTCGGTTTGTGTCATTGGGGCCCAGGCAGAAGTACAGCTCTCCAATGCAAGACAGGGCTTCAAGATGCTTCCCCTTCCAGGTGGGGGTGGTGGGAACATCAGGATGGGGAGTCACGTGCCTGGGTCCCGGTGGAGAAGGTGCCCCCTCTGACATGTGTGTTCCTGTCACAGGCCCTGAATGGATGGAGCTGGAAGAGTGGCCCTGGAGAGGGGCTTGGGTGCAGAGAGCTTTGTTTGCTTTGTAGAAACAGCAGGAACCATTGAGCTGCATTGCTGAATGGCACATTCCAACAGGTTCATTCGTTAAAGACCCAAACATCAACACGATTCTCTCCTGCATCTGCCTTTTGCCGCTCCGGCTAGTGTGGACAAGGAGGCCCCTTCTGGCAGCCTTTGTCTCGGCAGCTCCTGGGTGGCCTCAGCAGGCAGTGTGGGGTGCTGGGAAAGCTGAGTGAGGGTGGGGGTGGGGGCATCATGTAGGAGGAATTCTGTCCTTCCCCTAGGGCTTGCTGGCTATGTGCTTGGGCACATTGGAGAAGTCTTCCAACTTCTCGTTACCCAGTTTTTAAAAGGGATAATAATCCATATCACTGCAGTCTCTTTTTAATCGACACAAGTGACAACTATTATCTGTATTATCTGTTTGCCTAGGTATATGTGTCTGTATGGATTCCTCCCTCGTCCACCCATTCATCCAGTTACAACATTCATCTAATTCTCATTTTTTTATTCTTTATTTTTCGTGATACAGTTCCCTTCCACCCTCCCCATTCCTCTGCCCCCTCACTGTTTTCCCCCTATATTATAACAATAGTATAATCCTTCATCAGTCCATCATTCTTCTATTGAAGTGTATCCTGACATAGTAGGTACAGACAATGGTGTGAAGTCCAGCATCCTCTTGTCAAGGCACATTTAATAGCTTCATTGGAAGTCCCATCCATCTAACTTCAGAATGGCAAAGTCCTTCATGATCCCTCCCATTAATTGTAGCTCCTTCTCTAAGTTGTTTCCCCCTGCACATCCCATACATAGATACCCATAGGAAAGTTGTAGGAATTTTGTCACAGTTTAACACTGCAGAATTCCACATAGCCAATTATTCATTCAGCAGTGTTAGTAGTGTATTTGTCCTCTTTTTCAACAGCTCCACATATAGCTGGTCATCAGTCTTATGGATCCTAGTTCACAGGCTTCTGATGTTTAAAAGCCAGTGGTTAGGGAGCAATCGCTCTGCACCAAGCATTATGCTAAAGGATTAACAACAGCCCAGAGAGGCAGGTATGTGACTGGCATCCTCCTCTTACAGCTGAGGAAACTGAGGCATGGGTGGGTGGTGATGACACAGCCTGGAGGAAGAAGAGGGGC